TTTCTATTGTGGGTATGCTTTCCCTCCCCTTCTCTGCACTCTTTTATATACTGTTTTCCCCCAATAGAATAAGTTCCTTGAGGGCAGGGATTGTCTTGTTTGCTTTTATTTGTATTCCCAGAACTTAGCACAGTGCCTGGCAAATAAAACTTAGTAAATACCTTAGTGATCTACCTACTTACTTATCCTTTTCCTCCCCTGTACACAGCTGCCAAATAATCTTTCCAAGCCACAGGTCAACTCCCCTATTCAAAAGCTTTCTGTGACTCCCCACTGCCTTTAGGACAAAATATAAACTCTTTAGCTTGGCATTTAAGGTCCTCTGCAATCTGTTTCCATCTTTCCTTTCCCATTCTTATTTCACATTTCCCCCCTTTATGCTAAGTTCCAGCTAACCTGGATCATTAGCTGTTCTCCAAATCAGACATTCTGTCATATCTTGTCATTGTATAAGCCTTCCCCAAAGCCAGGAATAAATTCTTCACTTCTGCTTTTCAGAATTCTTAGCCTTATCTTCTTTCAAAACTCCGCTCAAGTACCACTTTTCCTCTAAAAAGACTTCTCTGATCTATGGAGTTGTTAGTGATCTCTCCCTTCTCAAACTATTTTGTATTTTTAATGTTTGTATATTCTGAACCCACCTACTAAAGTGTCAACTCTTTAAGGATTCTATTTTAGTCTTCCCAGCTTCTGTATTTGACATAGTGACTTTTGCAAACTATCACTTAATAAATGTTGAACTAAATTGAATTAAATTATCACTAGGCTATTAAACATAATACACAGCAGACAAGAAAGTACATAACATTTTATCTACTCAGCTATGAGCAGGATCACTGAAATCACAAGTTAAGACTGCCGAAACTGAGGAACCCTATTGATAGAATATAAAGTTACTGTTATCTAGGATTAAGAAGACAACAACCAGACTATAAATTTTTGCTACCATGGATCTTGTACACTCTTTTGACTCCTCTCTCACTTTCATCTACTTGCTCTAAGTCAGCTCAGGAAGATGTGAGATGAGATCTAAATAAGTAGTTATCGTGCAGGATCTTTGTTCTCGAGAGTAAATAAACATTTAATGAAAATCTCTGATATTTTGTGTTATTTCACTAAGAATGATAGTAATGATGGACCTAAATCAAAGATTTTTTACTGTAACTACTACAGACAAGGAAACTGAGAAAGGTAAAATAAAGTTTTACAATTTTAAAAAAATTGTAAATAATGCTAACCTCAGAGTATGACAATGTTATTTTCATTTATCTACAGTTCAATGATCAAGTAATAAATCAATCCACAAACATTTATTAAACACTTACTATGTGCCAGGAACTGTGCTAAGCTCTGGGTATACAAATAAAGGAAGAACCATGTTTTCTGCCCTCAAGGAGCCCACATTCTAACGAAGGATACAACAAGCAAACAACTATGTACATATAAGCTTATATACAGTTTAAATGTGAAGTAATCTCAGAAGAAAGGCACTGGGGGCTGGGGCAGGGGAGAGGAAGAGGGAGAAGAGGGAGAATAGTGTATAGAAGGGATTTTGATTGAGTCTTGAAGGAAATTAGAAGACACAAGTAAGGAGGGACACCATTCTAGGTTATGTGAGCCAGAAAATGAAAAGATGCAGAGTTGGGAGATAAAAGTATCTTGTGTAAGGAACAGCAAGGAGGCCAGTCACTGAAGTGGAGTACATGGAGTGAGTTAAGTATAAGAAGACTGGAAAGGTAACAAGGAGTTGGATTGTGAAGGACTTTAAAAGACAAATAGTGGATTTTATATATGATCCTAAAAGCAAAAGGAAGCCACTGGAGTTAACTGTGCAAGCGTGTGAGGGAAGACTGGGAAGAGGGAGATGACATAGTCAGACCTGTGCTTTAAGAACACTTGCAGCTGAGTGGAGGTTGGACTGAAGTAGAAAAAGAGTCAAGGCAAGGAGACCAAACACAAGACTACTGTAATAGTGTCTACAAATGAGGTGATGAGGGCTTGTGTGGCAGCTGTGTGCATGGAAAGAAAGGGAAACATACAAGTGATACCGTAGAGGCAAAAATGACAAAAAGTGGCAACAAACTGGATAGGCAGGGGGTGGGGGTAATATGAGTGAGGAGTCAGTTGAAGGTAATAAAGTTGTGAATCTGGGTGTGATAGGGCTAATAACATCCACTAGTGCTTCCCCATAACATGGGTTAGGCTCAGACTTCCTTCCCTCTTGCATGTGGTTTAGTTTTCCTCAAAAGAAGATAAAGCTGTCACTGAGACCTGACTGAACCCGGCTTAATCTGACACTGCTTATCTAAGGTCATAAAAAATCCCACCCATGTGGAGACTGGGCCTTTCAGACTTAGTGGGTGCCTGAGACCAACTGAGTCACCATAACTTGCCCTGATGACATGTGGACCAGAAGCACATCCTTAAGGAGGCAAAGGCGGCCACGTCTAACAAAGCTGAAGATAAGTGCCATAGTAATTCAGTTACATATCCTTCCTATGTTATGGTAAAGTAAACCTCCTTTATTTTGTTCAATGACTTGTATCAAAATCAATCCTGAACAATTTCAGAATCATACTCATCTTCTATCCCTTTCCCTCATAAATAATTATCAAGTTTTGTCAATTCTATATTCACAACTTCTGATTCATCTCTTTTCTCCATTCATATGATGGTATGCCATACAATTTCAGGCCCTCCTAACCTCTTGCTTGCACTGTTGCAACAGTTTTAATAGGACTCTTTTCCCAAGCTTCTTCTGTCTCTAATGTATCATCCATAGAGTAGACAAATTGATGTTCCTCAAGCACATCTCTGATGTCACTCCCCTAAATAATAACCTTCAGTGATTCTAGGATAAAATATAAAAACCTCTGCTTGGCATTTACTGCCTTTTACACTCTGCCTCCAGGCTACCTTTCCACTCTAAGGGGCTAATCAAATTAGTTTTATTTGCTGTTTTCAGAATTCAGCATTTCAATACTCATCACTAAGCCTTTGAACAAGATTTAATTGTATGCTAGATTTTAAGCTGCAAGGGAACTTGGAGGTAAGAGTACAATCTCTTCATTTTACAAATGAGAAAACAGAACTAAGGAGGTTAAGTGACTTGCCCAAAGTTATACATTTAGTAAGCATTAGAGGTAGAATACAGGTCTTCTGAAAGAACCAGTGCTTTTTCCAGTGTACCATGCCTGCCAGCGGTAGGATTCCCAAGAGTTGATTCTATACTTCCACACTGGGAGAGTGATAGGGAAACCTAATCTCAGTGGCTACAAAAACATTCTTTAGGAGGAAGTAGAAAGGCTTACATACTGGTATACACAATGCCTGCAACGGTTGTTGTACAAGTCATTAACACTACTGATTATAGTATTCTTGATATTGAATTCACTGCATTTTGCAAGGAAACAGATATTGCCATGGTACCTAGGACTGATGATCTGAGAAGAGGGTATACTGCTATATAATGTTAAAGGTTAGACTATCTCATCTAGAACTATACTCAAAAAAGTGTTTAATTATGATAAACCACTTCTAGAACCACTGTCCAGTCCCAGTATCACTTGGCCCCATAAATACAAAGTATCACAATTTATTTGTCTGTGATCGAAAATGTCGTATAGTCACATTTCCCTCTATTCTCCACAAAAGTCCATTAAAGTGGTAAGGTAATAGGAAGAAATATTTCTTCCCCAATGGGGGAAGCAGATCTTAACTTCCACATCAGTGATGTAGCAGATAAACTGTTCTATTATACTCAAATTATCTTCCCTTTTCTATTTATATTCACTATGCGTCAAGGGTCATCACTTCAACTTCCTTAATTTTTATTCATTAATTAATGGGTAAATCAATGAAATCTCAACTCAAATTTCACCCCCTTCCTACCTTCTACTTGAAAAAACAAGTAAACAAAAAACATTCTTGGTTTAACATTATCCAGCTCCTAGTTCAATTCAATTCAAGCATTTCTTAAGCACAATAAGGTGAAAATTGTAATGCTAAGTGTAAAAGATTCAAAAGACTAACTAAAACGTAGACCTCTGGAAAGTAATTTGGAACCATGTCCCCCAAAGTCACTAAATTGTTCCTTTCCTCTGACACAACTACACCAATAATAGATCAAAGGAGGAGGAAGAATCTATATATACAAAAATATTTACAGCTCTCTTTGTAGTAGTAGCTCAAAAATAGAAACTAAACGACAACTACTTAATGGGGAATGGCTAAACAAATTATAGTATATGAATGTAATGGAATATTACTATGCCAGAAAAATAACAAAACAGTTTCGGGAAAATGCCTACTAAAATCCTATTCATCCTTCAAGACTCATTTCAAATGGATTTTCCCATGAAATTTGTCCTGCTCTCCTTAACCAAGTAGTGGATCTTTCCCTCACTTGTTCTAATTGCTCTAATTGAACAGTCTGTATTCTTCATGTACTTATATCCTATGAATTAATGCAGCAAATTGAACAAAAGTGGGAGAACAATTTATATAATGATATCATTATAAAGAAAACCAATTCTGAAAGGCTTTAGAACTTTGATCAATGACTGATCAATCCTTAGTCAGGACTGAAAATGAAACATGCTATCTATTTTCTACTTAAAATTCTGAATAAGACATACAGTTTTGACATGTCTACTGCCTAAATTTTTGGGCAATATCTATTGCTAAGCAATGCATATTCATTATAGGAGTTTTATTTTTTATTCTTATTATTCAATTGGGAGAGAATGTAAAATAATAAATGCGTATAAATAGAGAAAATGCAAAAAGCCCCACAGACCCTGTTCTCAAGATTATAATCTATCAGATAAGGTACAACGTGTCCACAAATAACTACAACACATTTTGAATATGATCAAAGCAATGTAGAGGTGAAAAGTACTTGGAGAGATTCAAGGAAGGAGAACTCATTCATTTCCAGTATGAGAATCAGGGAGTAGGTACACCTAAATTGGTTCTTGAAGGCAACAGACTGAATGTACCTCCATCAAGAGCAAGTTTTGATCTCCACTCAACAGGCAGAAATTCAACATGTGTTGCATGATTAGAAAAGTGCTTTTCTTCTATTTTTCTTGCAGCATCTCTCATCCTATTAAGAAAAAGGAACTCATTAGATTAAGTTACAAAAGGAACATTAAAACACAGTAAATTTATATTTCCTTCATAATGTCACTAAGCTGTTAATTAAATTTTATTTACTTTAGCTGCTCATTATTACTCTTCACCAATACATCCTAATTTCCAAACCTATTTATCCATGATTGCTCCCTGATGATTTTTCTTTTTTTTGCATGTTACTTTTAAAAGTTATTTTAAAAGGTATTCAATTAGATTTTACGGACAATTCAGTCTCCCAAAGTTTGGCACCTTAGAGAAGATAAGCATGTATCCAAGTAAATTAATGATTCTCTTATTTTTATTCAAGAATGAAATTATAACACTTGCTGTGTTTTCAAAGATTTCATCCTTAACAAATGTGAATATGAAAGAAGCACCAGAAATCAAAATTAGGATGCTTGAAGAAAAGAATCCTGGAATTGACTCCCACTATTAAATGTTAAGATTTTAAAATAATTTCTTCTCAGTTATTCATGAAAGTTATACTTTCATATTTTATTATACTATGACAACATGTTAAACACACACATAACATATAACAACCCTTGAATTTAGAAGCAGTATAATTGTTGTTTTCATTTACCTTTTTTTGGAGCACAATTGGGGTTCCATTTCACGGAATAAAATCATCAGCACTATGTATACTCACATCTTTCTAACAAACTGATCTGATTCCACAAACTATAAAGGCAGGTATCATAATTTCTGATATGGTCATATAAGATAAGTAAGTATAAATATATATTAAAATGTCTGACCCATAACATATCTTATGAACACTATTATTTTTAAAGCTTTGGGTCTCCGTAACTGGAAACACTACAATGATTTCAAAAGGTAGATGGCTGAGAAAACGTTCCATGTCTATAAATAAGACAAAACAACACTTTATTTATCATATAGGTGTGTATATTCATGTAAAAATATGATTTTCCCTTGGTGAAAAAACCAAAAAATTAAATGTTATCTTGTGGCTAAAAGAGTTGTTATGTTACTGCCATGCTTAAACATAATGCAGTATAATTTACTCTCATGAAACTTATGTACTGCTATGTAATACATGCTAAATACTTATTTTGGAAGAGGAAAGAATTTGAGAAATGTAAGAAAACTTAAGAGGTGATCTAGTTCAAATCTATTACTTTACAGATGAAGAAACCAAGGCCCAGAGATGTTAAAAGACTTGCCTAAGGCCATATTGCTTGAGAGTCAGAGTTAGGATATGAACACAGTTCTCGTTTCTCAATCAGGACTTCTTGTACTTGGAATTCTGCTCTGGTTATTTATTGCTAAATGGGACTGAAAAAACATTCCTCTAGTTCTATTCAATGGACTGGCTCTAAGTGAGAGGCCTGAAAAGGTAGAAATAATGGAACTATCTTCTAAGAATTCCACAGGGAGCCAAGAAAACCAAAAGAAGTACATAATGTCTACAAACATATGAAAATACATACACATACACGCATGTTATAGGTACAAACTCCATAAATAACGAAATGAAACACTTTCTTCACTCACAAATACTCACTAAAGAAAATCATTTGTAATTTCAACCTCAATACTCTTCCATCCTTTAAGTGACAGAGATAATAATACAGGAAAAAACAGACTGGTAAGCTAGGTAAGCATTTCTGTAAAATTTTCTTAGCCACTTTCTTAACTATATGAAAGCTTGGTTAAAGTAAAACAAGGCAAAGGAAAGTAAATGCATTAAATATTCCTAGGAATCACAGATATTCTCCAGGACTATATCCTAAGCAAGCTTTTTGTTTTCTCTAAAACAGAGGTTCTTAACCTTTTTATGTTATGGCCCGTTTTGACAGTTTGGTAAAGGCAACAGACTCTTCACAATGCTCTTTTTAAAATTCATAAATTGAAGGAAATGCAAAATTCCATTTAGAAGTTTGTGAAAACAGTGATGCAATTTTGAACTTAGATGGGAATCTAAGTTACAGACCCCCTGGAATCTCCCCATGGAACACAGATTAAGAACTACTCTAAAAGATAATCATGACCTGTCCAGTGTACGGTAGTGCCATGGAACATAACCATATAAAGACTTCAAAAATACTAACATGTTTTAGGGGCAGCTAGGTGGCGCAGTGGACAGAGCACCAGCCCTGAAGTCAGGAGGACCTGAGTTCAAATCCGGCCTCAGACCAAACACTTGACACTTACTAGCTGTGTGACCCTGGGCAAGTCACTTAACCTCAATTGCCAAAAACAAACAAACAAAAAACCTAACATGTTTTGAATAAATATGTTTTATTCAAGTTTTGTCTCAGAGAACTGTTAATAAAGCACAAATCTCAGATATGCATGCCCTATTTAATATTATTAGGATAACAAATTAAGAGAGCTTAACCTCCTTCCTAAACTAATTGTACCTTATGGAGAAAGATTTCATATGATAGTGATAGTCAAACACCAAAAACAATACAAATACAAGAATAAAATGCCTTTTAATGAAAATAATGTCAGTCCTTGTAGAACTGAGATGCCAGTCTTCATATACTGCTGCCTTCTTTTGATCAATAAATTTACTAACCTTTGCTGATTTTTAAAGATGCATGGTTGTTTTGACAAAATTCACTCAAAGCCTTGGAGAAGTTTAAGGCCATTAAAGTCAATCTCATCTCATGAATCCGCAGAGCTCTTCTTTCTTTTCAGAAGCAATGGGGTATAATCAGGGTAAATTGGAACCTTCACATCATGGAATACTGAGTTCCCAGGGGACCAAGCCGTGGAGAGGATTCTATTCCTGTTTGGAAGGTTTTTTGCAGATTACTAAAACCACCTTTCGCCAAAATGATGATGGGTGAAGAGGATTTCCTATTAGCTAATCTTCAATTCACATTTACACAGCTATATCTGAAGGAAAACTGCTAATGAATGAGACATCAAATCCTTCCACATCATTTATAAGTTTTTCATAGACACTGACTAGTATTTCATTTTGAAATCAGTAAGATGGTCAGAAGCATCATCTTTATACATGAAATGTTACTTTCATGATCACATTTCTTATCAGGAATCTTATTAAACAAGATTTTGTTGTGTTAACAGTGTAGGCTAGGCTTATAATCTCTTTTAAATCCTCTAAATCTAATACATATTTTTTTGTTCCTCACAATCTCCTAAAGCTATTTTAGTTTTTAAGTTTATGGTTTTTTTAAGCTATATTCCACATGTCAGCATCATATTCTTAATTTATCTGAGTAATAAAAGTCATGCTAAAAATAGTCATTAAGTCTCAATGACCTTTGGAGAAAAATATATCAGGAAATCAGGATCACCAAATCATAATCACTGAGAGTGGGTAGAGGTGAATAAATGATTTAATACAGTGACTTAATCAAAACACATATATACAAATTTCTATTACTATATTTAACTTTTATTATTATTACATTTTAAGTAACAAATACTAGTATTAAATCGTAAAAGATGGAACCCACAGAGGAAATTTTGCAACTTGGGTCAAAAAGATTTTAATTTTTATTGGCAATATCGCCAACTGAACCTAGAATTTTAGTAATAATGTATTTTTCTCCTTTAAAGGCTTGAAAATTACATTCAAAACTATGAAGATTTATGTTAAGAAATCTTATGTTTAGGTATCTAAATTGTATTTTTATTCCAATTCTACACAAGGCACTTGACTACATTTCTAGAATACTTCTTCTGAATGACTGGCCCTACCTTTTGAAGTTCCAGAAAGATGTATGACATATGCTTGGGACTATGTCAGATCTCTTTGATATATACCAAAAAAAAGGTGCATCTTAAGGGCTTCGCTATCTAAATCCCAAGATTATTTGTGTTTAAGTTATCATGACATTAAAACAAATGATTAAATCCAATAATAATTACAGAAGCTGCATATAAGATATGTAGGCAATGGTAGTCATGATAACATAAGGCACTCGTGCCTTTGATCATCCTCCTGCTTTTCAAGTATTTCCCTTTCCTTTTCTTTTTGCTATTTCTTCTTCCTTCCTTTCCTAGCAAAAACTTTCTAGAGTGAGGTTAGTGGTATGGCATAGTTCAGGCACCAGAAGTTGGTAATAAGTGTTAGCTTAGCATGTGATAGAATAGGGCCCATACTTTGTTTCACAAAATGAGGTAGTATTTATAAAGTGATTAGAATAACGCTTGGCAAGTGCTATATAAATATCATTATGTTTGGTTTTTTTTTATTATTAACAATTTTTGAGCACCCTTAATATATATGTATGTATTTATGAATTATGTACCATAGACAGCTATGTTTAGATTATATTTCAATATTTGGTTTTAATGACTGTCACTGCTGGAATAGATGCCTCATAAAGATAGACATATCCAAGTGGAAGAAGTGCATCAGTGGCTGCATCTATGCAAATATTTTTGTTGAAATTCAGCTACTATATTTACATTTTCTCTCATGTCAGTAAGTTGTACTTGCAAACTAATGTGAAATTATTGCATCTTTCAACAAATGGCTTCAAAACCCACTGTGATTACTGGAAGACTTTTAAACATGTTGGGAAATTCTGCTTAGAGTTTTAAAAATGAAGATATGAGAATTTTGGCAGGTGATATATTTGGCAATAAAAGCAGTTTTTAAATGTCTTACTAATCAGGAAGGCTTCATACTACCATTAGCTACTATCTGAAGGCACAATATATACTTAGAGTGAAGTTCATTAATAAGAATAGAGGTAAATCCATTTTTCAAGTAATCTTCCTGATAACTGAATTTTTTTTGGCTGATTTCTTGTTAGACTTGATTATTCTAGTATTGTTTTTACATCATAATATGGCTAATGCAGAGTTATGTACCGTAGAAGTAGAATTGTTATCTCGGCCATTTCTTGTTATTTGCTTGTGTTGACACTATTAGAATTATTTTCGATGTGCACTTTCTTTACAGAAATACTTTTAGGCCACATGCCTATTTGTAAGGGCTGTTAACAGTTAAAAATGAAA